CTCGCCCCTCCGGAGGCGTGTCCTCTATATCTTCTACTCCCACCCTGTCTCTCACATCCACCATCTCAAATTCATCCTCAATCGCATCATCTGTCCGGAACCACGTCTGGGGCAGTCTAGGCATCGTTGGGCAGGACATGGGGCGTTTGGACGGTACTGGAGCAGGCACTAACGGGTATGTAGGGGTACGCCAAGGATGGCTGGCTGAGCGATGGTGAGTTGCTGCTGCTGCTCCATCCCTTGGTGCTGCTGACTTTGGTGCTGACGGGGTAGCTGAAGCTGCTGCTGCTGCTGCTGCTGCTGCTGTTGGCTTCGATGCTGGGGGGTTGCGTGCTGCTGCTGTTGTGCCTGCTGCTGCTGCTGTGTGTCCTCTGCGTGTGGGCGATGGTGTAGCTGCTGCTAACTCTGGTGCGGATGGTGACAGCAGCACAGGAGAAGGCGAGCTGCACACAAATCCCATGCCCGCTTTCACAGGCGTCTCTGACTGGCTCCCCTCCTTCCCTTCCGCCTTCCTCCTCTCCTCCTTCCTTATCTCCTCCTCCCTTCTCTCCTCCTTCTTTCTCTCCTCATTCCATCTTTCCTCAACCCTTCTCTCCTCCTCCTTGCTCTCTTCCGCCCTGCCCCTTACCTCTACAGCCTTTCGCAGCCTCTTGAACCTCCTCCGTCCGTCTCCCTCCCCACTCACAGCAGCACCGCCAGCATTACCAGCAGCGGGATCAGCAACTTCAGCATGAGACTCAGACATCTCAACCTTCACCTTCTTTCCACTCTCAACCCTCCCGGCAGCAACATCTCCAGACGCATTCTTACCCTCACGACTCCCGGCATCTTCACGTCTCCTCTCATCGCCCCTTCCCACTGCCACTCGCTGCTCCACTGCCCCTTGCTTCCCTTCCCAAGCTTTCCTCTTTGCCATCCCTTCCCCATCCCCCACTGTGCTCTCCACCTCTCCTTGACTCCACTCAAAACCATTCTTGGCTACACCTTGTTGCCCGTCCCTCTCCGCCATGCATTGCCCATCCCCCAACGAGCCCTCTTCCCCATCCCAACCCTCCAGCCCCAACGAGAAGCTGGGAGCGTCCAAACCCTGTGAGGGGAGGAGGTTCATAGCGCCAGGTTCTATTTGAAGCTCAGAGGGCTGCACGTGACGGGGGGACTTTGGAGGCACCTCAGAATTTAAAGAGAAGCTGGGAGCGTCCAAGCCCTGTGAGGGGAGGAAGTTCATCAAGTCAGGTTCCAGCTGAATCTCAGAGGATTGCACGTGAAGGGAGAAGGAGGGCGGTTCAAAGTCAAACACTCCCATCGCCGTCCCCTCCCCCTCCTCCAATGCCTCTACTTCGTCTTGTACACACCGTGTGTCTGCATATCCTTGTACTTTCTCCTCTGCTACCCTCAACCTCTCCTCTTCCCTTCCTCCCTTTGCACAATCTCCTGTCATGTCTCGCCTCCCCTCCTCTCCTCTCCCGTCCTCTTCTCTCACCTCCTCTCCCTTCCCCTCCTCGCCTCTACCCTCTCCTCTCCCCTCACTACTCCGCTTGTTTTTCCCCGCTCTTCTTCCTGCAGCACTTATTTGCATCATCCGCCCATCCCCGTCTCCCTTCTCCCTCCCTTCCGCATCCTCATTTTCCATCTCTTCTCGTCCTCCCAATTCTCCTCTCTTTTTCCCTTCCCCATCCGCGTCTCCTCCCGTGTTTCCTTTCCCCTCCAATTCTTCCCCCTTCTTCCCTTTCCCCTCCGGTTCCCCTCCCTCTCTTTCCTGCTCTTCCTCTACCCTTATCCTTCCGCCCCCGCCTATGTCCCCCTCTTGTGAATCTAAAACAGCCTCCAACTCATCCACCTTCCTCCTCCCTCCTTCTCTTGCACTTTCCATATCACTTTCGTGGGTTGACTGCTCAATCAGGGACTGCCACGTGGCTTCGTCCTCAGGCTGAGTCATCAAGGAGTCGTCACTGTCAGCATCCCTGTCATCATTGTCAGCATCCCTGTCATCAGTGTCAGCATCCCTGTCATCATTTTCAGCATCCCTGTCATAATTTTCAGCATCCCTGTCAACATCGTTCCCACCCATCGTTCCATCGTGTTCCTCCCTTCCTGCCCCCTCCTCGCTATCAACACTTCCCTGTACTCCCACCCTCCCTCCTCTCTCAAACCCTCCTCTCTCCTCCTCTCCCACCCCCTTTCCTGCCTCCTGCACCTCCTCCTCCTCGCTCCCTAACACACGCCTCCTCTTCCTCCTCCTCCCACACTCTCTCACGCGCTGCTCTTTTAACCCCTCAAGTCCACACCCATCCGGCTCTTCCTCCCCTGCCTCCTTCTCACTCCCTTCCACCTCCTCCCCATCCTCGCCTGCCTCCTCTTCCTTTTCCTCTTCCTCCTCTTCCTCATCTCCCTCCTCTTCCTCCTCTCTCTCCTCTCCCTCCTCTCCCTCTTCCTCGTCCTCATCCAACCAATCAGCATCCTCCACCGTCTTCTCATCCCGATCCTTCTCATCATCCATCAGCCAATCAGCACTGGCGAAATCCTTCCCACCCTTGCAAGATATACCAGTGCCTCTCTCTCCCCCCTCCCTCGCACGATTCCCATTATCCTTGGTACCACTACCATCATCACCATCACCATCACCATCACCATCACCATCACCATCACCATCACCATCACCATCACCATCACCATCACCATCACCATCACCATCACCATCACCATCACCACCACCGTCATCATCAGCATCATCATCAGACCAATCAGCAATGGTTTTGATCCTCCTCTTCCTCACCACAGCAGGTATCCCACACCGCCATGCAGTCGGATGAAACACCGTGCCACTACCAGAACCCCCTCTATTGTCACTTCCAAACTCCCCTCTAGTATCACTCCCCCCCATTGTAGTCACATCCAGCCCTCTCAAACCCCCAAACTCCCCACTTTCACTGACGCTCCTCCATGCTGTCCCTCCCATACTCCCCACTCCCTCACTCGCTCCTTCCCTTCCCCTAACTCCGCCACCACTCCCCGCAACCCCTCTCTCTCCAACGCACTTTCCTCCTTCTCCTCTGAAACCTCCCCCGCTTAACCTCCCTCCCTCACTTGCTCCCTCTCCCCCTCCTCCACCTCTTCTTGCCACTGGCTCAGCTTGTCTTTTCTGCTGCCAGCTCGACCAGATCGGTTGCTGCACGGAAAACGACAAACGAGGCCTCTGGGGCGCACAGTGCTTTCCCTTAAACGGCCCCTTTCTCGTTGGGTCCTGACGTGGCGGCTCAGCCACTTTGGACACGTCATCCTGACTCGGCACTAAATCGAGCTCAATCACCTCCGCTGTAACTCCTAGTGTCACATGGTCTAATGTCACACCTCCTTTACTGGCGTTTCCGTGGCTAGTCCTCCCTGATAACGGCACTGCTGCAGTTGCACCACTCGCTCGGTGCGATTCCGACCTGAACTGAACAGACGGCTGAGATGGAGCCTGCGAAACTGACAGCTGTGATGGACCCGGCTGCGATGGACTGAGCGAGACCTGCTGCGAAGATGTTACTGCTTCTTGCGACAAGTAACGCGACAGCGGTGCCTGAATCTTACGACGGGATTGGCTAAGCGGAAGAGGCCGCGAGCTTCTTCTGGGCTTGCCACGTGGCGGCATGGTTGTGGCAGCGGCCTCAAGAACGCAGACGAAATCCAATGCCTAGTGCCTTTAGCTTGGCGAAGAAATCCGTTTAGCGAAAAAGAATATCCCACGCATTTGAAACCGTAAGTCAAGAGGGCTCATACTACGGGACTATACTATAGTAGTTGGGTAACGCGGTTCGGATCATTTGGCAGCCACGCCGGGAACTGAAACCCTAACAAATTAACGCTCACTCAAATCTAGACCACGCCTTACCACGCTCGCTCTCCACACCAACTGTAGAACCAGCAACAAGCTAACGGTCGAATACGACCAGTCTCATCTCGATCCCAGCCTAGTCTAGTCTAGAGCGAACGGTAATCCCCACGGTGAAAGGCGTCAAGCTGACGACAAGCCGTTTTTGTGCGACAGTTTCAAGGTTGTGCGGGACGGAGTTGAAAATATTTAAATATTTGAAATCTGGGTACACTCGACTCGACCTTCTGCACTTTTCGCACAACTTTTTTCGGTTGGTGACAAGATACTTCGCATAATTTTGATAGCGCAGCTTTACCGAGCATTTGACAGCGTCGAGAGGTGACATTACTGAAAGTTTTCCAGCCAAGGAAAGCTTTGCCTTGACCATGGTCTTGCCTTCCCCTTCCCTCTCCTTCTCCATTTACCTCACTCTTCTTGCCAATTTAGTCCCACTCCTCCCTAGGCTTGTTGTGGCGGTCTGGTTCCTAGATCCCGTCGACTTGGGATAGAATTTGCAGTCTACACTCTGTTTCATACACGGACGCTCGTGGCACAGCTAGGCTACTACTATGCCAGTCGCGTACTAGCACTTGCCGTGATAATAGAATTAGCGTTAGTTATGTTGAGGAGCAGTATCAATCCGACACTCGGATACTTTGATATTCCAACACTCCAACTCTCCTGTCCGGGGTGTCTCGGGCTCGTTCGCCGGCATTTTTAACGCTTTATAAGCAAATCTGTCTGTTGCCAGTCCGTTACGCTGAAGGCATACGAACCGTCGATCCACGACGCGCAAATCCATCGACGGCGTCAGTAGCTTTCGCCGGCTCTCGAGCCACATTGATCGCCGTTCGCTTCCTTTAATGACCAACGGTCTGGATTCGATTCTGGTTGTTAGATTCGTGTTCGGCTGAAAACGTTTCAGATTAACGTTGAGCGTGTAGAGATTTTTAGAAGAGGACTTTTACCCGTTGCTGTCTGAACTCGTTTCGAAAGTTGTCGGAAACTTCTTAGTGTTCCCGTGACTAGGAAATTCCGTACGCGATTTGGTTTGGGGGATAGGTGGACGACGCGAAAGAGAGGGTGACGTCGCGGACCATACACGTTTGTATCGAGTTGGCGTATATCGACGCAGCCTGTCAGAATGAGTGTAAGTGCCACGGCCTTGCGGTTTGGCATCCTTCCTATCCATATTCACCCTTTCCGCCGCTTTACCCTCCGACCCCATCTTTTCCGCTTTTCTCCTTTCCCTCTCCCTGCTTCTCACCCCTGTTTCCGTTCCCCCCTTCCCCCGGTTTTCCCTGTTACGTCCGAAACGTTTTCTTTGAGTCGCCTGAATTGGCAACAGAGGAATGCGGCGCAGCAATGCGTGCCATTTTTGTGTGATTCTACTGCCTTTGTTTGTACTGTTATACCAAGCGTGTGCCTGTCACCCCGCCCCTCCTCCTTTCTGCCTTTTACCCGCGGCAGCAGAAGAAGGCAGTGCGACAATGCGTTGCGTTCCCTGTTTTCCCCATCCGTGTCACGTCGTGTGATAGTGGCATATCCCGCGCATTCCCCCTCTTCCCCGTCTTCCCACGTCCGATCCTATCCCGCGCACCCCTCCCGCTTTCCCGCCTCCATCTCACGTCCTCTCAGAGCTGTCTGAATCGGCAGCAGAAGGAGGCAGTGCAGCAATGCGTTCCGTTCGCTGTTTTCCCCACGCGTCCTGTATTAATCATCCCTCCTTTTTTCCCTCCTCCTCTTCCCTTCTCTTCCCTCCCCTCTCCATCTCACGTCCTCTCAGAGCCGTCTGAATCGGCAGCAGAAGGAGGCAGTGCAGCAATTTGTGGCAATCACAGGCACGGGGTGAGTGAGAATAGCATAGGCGTGTGCACAGCACAGGCACGTGGTGGTTACAGCACAGGCACGTGGTGGTTACAGCACAGGCACGTGGTGGTTACAGCACAGGCACGTGGTGAGCAGCACAGGCATAAAGTGAGCACAAATATTTCTGACCAACGAATGCCGTTCCTTGTAACCTAAAGTGAGGGGAGCACCGGCGACCCTGATAGCGAGGTAGTGGAACATGGTGCTGGCCTTCCGCCTCTTCTACTCCATTGCCCCTCACGTTCCCTCCCTCCTTTCGCTCCCTCACTTCCCCCCCAGCGATCGAGGAGCACTTGCGGCTCTGAGGGCGAGCGAGTGGAACATGAAGCTTGCATTCGATCTCTTCTACTCCTCCAACTCAACCCCTCCGGTTCCCTTCCCTCCGCTCCCTCCCTCCTTCATTCCCCTCCTTCCCTTCCCCTCCCAGCGACGGGGGGCGAGTGAGTGAGTGGAACATGGAGCTGGCGTTTGATCTCTTCTACTTTCCTCCACCTCGGGCCCTCCGTTGTCTTCCTCCCTCCCTCCTCCCCTCCCTTCCCTCCCTCCCTTCCCCCACCCCGCAGCGACCGGGGGGCACTAGCGGCCCTGCGAGCGAGCGAGTGGAACATGGAGCTGGCGTTCGACCTATTCTACTCCTCCTCCACCTCGGGTCAGCAGCTGAGGGCCTTGGGGCGCTCTGCTGCTCCTAAAGTGGACCCTCGGCAGCTGGAGCATCTGTTTCTCAGATACAAAGGTGGGGCTTGTGCTGGCAAGGCAGGGTCAGGGAGTATGTGCAGTGCAGTGTAAGGGTTTGGGACGCCCTGCTGCTCCCAAAGTGGACCCTCGGCAGCTGGAGCATCTGTTTCTCAGATACAAAGGTGGGGCCCGGGTTGTTGGGCAAGGGTATGTGCCGTGTGTGTTTTTTGAAGGGATTCTCAAAATTCTCAAAAAACACACGCTGCAGTGGAAGGGGTTGGGAAGGTATGTGCCCCTGTTCCTCCCTCCCGTCCCTCCTCCTCCCCTCCTCCCTCTCCTGTTCCCCGCCAGCCAGATTCCTGTGCCCGCCCCGGCATCAGACGTTCGTGCCGGCATGAGTTGTGTGGATGACTGTCGTCCCCCGTATAAGATGACTTTGTACTCTCCCATGACCTCTCCATGTTCCCTGCTGCCGTGCTGTTGCGCTGCCTCAGACCCTCAATGCGATTTAAGTTTGATGGACACCATTTCACCCTCTGTTGAAGACAGTAAATCTCTCCCACAACCTGTTTCCCTCGTCCCGCACCCTGCCCCTGCATTGCTGTTGCGCTGCCTCAGACCCTCACTGTGATTTAATTCTCGTGGACGGCATTTCAAAGCTGTGTGAGGACCTCGAGGTGTGTATAAGCCTCGAGAAGTGATGCCTTGAAAGGGAATTTCCTCTCCTCTCCTCTTTCCATACCTTTGCTTTTCGTTCACTCCTGAGGTCCCAACCCCTGCTGTGGCCACAAGGTCTCAAGTTTCATGTATTCTATCCCTTCTCCTCCTGCTCTTACGGTCCCCCTTTCCCTTTTCCCCCCCCACCCTCTCCCCCCTCCCCCCCCCCTTTCACCTCCCTTTTTTCTTTCCATTGTTATTTTTCGCTTCTGAATTGGGACGATTTCGAGGCCCCTCAATCCACCCCTTCCCCCTCCCCACACACCCTTTCTTTCCCTTTCTCTTTCCATGGTTTCTTTCCCTTTTGGGCGCCAGGTGGATCCTCAAGACATTGTCATGGTAAGGCATCCGTTCTCCCTTATGCTACTATGCAATTTTTTAGGCGCCTCAAAAATCCGTCTCAAAAATCATTTCAGTCTTGAGGGGTCTCAAAATACATTGTCATGGTAAGGCATCTGTTCTCCCTTATGCTACCACCATGCATGCAAGGCATCTTTCCGTGTGTTTCAAACTCTGCATACATGCATCGTATGCCACACAGACTGGCCCCTGCTGCCACCACCCCATTCCACCGTATGTCATCCCATGCCATATCATGCCATGTCATGCCATGTCATGCCATGTCATGCCATGTCATGCCATGTCATGCCGACCCATGCCTCCCTCTGCAGCTAATACTATCATGGCACTTCAAGGCAGCGACTATTTGTGACTACTCCAAGGAGGAGTTTCCATTCTCGCTGGAGACTGCTGTTTCTCCTTGCGCCTTCCCCTGCCATCTCCTCCCTCTCCTTTCTTCCCGCGCCCCTCCCTCTGCAGCTGATTCTATCATGGCACTTCAAGGCAGCGACCATGTGTGAATACTCCAAGGAGGAGTTCATCCAAGGCATGCAACGAGTGGGGTAAGTAAGGCATGCAAAGAGTGGGGTAAGCAAGGCATGCAAAGAGTGGGGTAAGTAATTAGGTGACTTATGAGTCGACAGAGGTGTCTTTTGGGTTTTTGAGTCGACTCAAAAGTCACTTCAGCCTTCAAGGCAGCGACCATGCGTGAATATTCCAAGGAGGAGTTCATGCAATGACTGTGATTTTTGAGTCGACTCAGCTCACTGAGCTATCTCTGGATCTTGCAAGGCATGCAATGACTGGGGTAAGCAATCCACGACGAAGAAAGTGGGGATAGAGAGTGGGGACGAGAAGGAGATGAGAAGAGAGGGGATGAGGACTCGAAATCGGGGCTGGAGAGAGGATTAACAGATAGAGCCATTTAGCAGTGTCAGTGCCCTATTAGTACCCTATCAGTGCTTTTTCAATGCCCTATCTCCGTTCTCCCATTTTTCCCTCTCCTCTTCTCAGTGTCAGCAGCGCGGACGAGCTCAAGGCACGGTTGCCGGCACTGCGATCAGAAATCAACGACGACCGTGAGTGCCAGGAGAGGGTAGCACTTGAAGCCCAGTTTTGAGGCGCCTCAAAACTAGTGTTTGAGGGGGGGTGGCTTGAAAGAGTGCCAGGAGAGGGTAGCACTTGAAGCAGGAGGAGAGGAAAGGCCGAACGGAGTGCTAGGCGCGTGTGCATGTTGCTTCTTGCTCCGCGGTACTTCTGCGGTTGCCACATTCGCTCTCACTATCTGTGGGGCATGTGCATGGCGTGTGGGGGCATGTGGTGGCATGTGGTGGCATGTGGTGGCATGTGGTGGCATGTGGTGGCATGTGGGCATGCTATGTGCCCTGCGTGTGGGCATGTGATGTGTGCGGCATGGCATGTGGGCGTGTGCATGTTTTCAATGCAGATAAATTCAGGGAGATTTACAACTTCTCCTTCGATTGGGCAAAGGAGAAGGTCGGTTCCAGCTTCTTTTCTATCAGTCAAAGAAACAGGTTATTCATGTGGTGTGACCAACACAGATGCCTCTCTTGTGACCACCACAGATTGGACCACTGTTTGCTGCTGCTGCTCACACCCCTCATTCCCATCTCCCACTTCTCTGCCTGCAGGGTCAGAAGTCTCTGGCATTCGACACGGCCATAGGCATGTGGCAGCTGCTCTTCACGGCGCGGCCATGGCGATTCGTCGAGCACTGGTGTGAATACCTGCAGGTAGGGCTGCTGCTGCTGCGAGGACTTGGTATGAGGAGTACTTTCAGGTGAGGCCGATGCTGCGGGGATCTGTGGTAGGAGTGCTTGCAGGCACGGCTGGTAGGAATGCTTGTAGGCACGGCTGGTAGGAGTGCTTGCAGGCACGGCTGGTAATGGGTGTACCTGCCGGTGGGTTTGTTGCTGTGAGGACTTGGTATGAGGAGTACTTTCAGGTGAGACTCATGCTGCGAATACCCAGTGTGAATATCTCCAGGTAGGCCTCTTGCTGTGAGGACCTGTGGTGGGGTTGCTTGCAGGTAAGACTGGTTGTGGGTGTATCTTCCAGCTGGTTTTGAGACGTCTCAAAACAAGGTAAGACTGGTTGTGGGTGTATCTTCCAGCTGGTTTTGAGACGTCTCAAAACAAGGTAAGACTGGTTGTGGGTGTATCTTCCAGCTGGTTTTGAGACGTCTCAAAACAAGGTAAGACTGGTTGTGGGTGTATCTTCCAGCTGGTTTTGAGACGTCTCAAAACAAGGTAAGACTGGTTGTGGGTGTATCTTCCAGCTGGTTTTGAGACGTCTCAAAACAAGGTAAGACTGGTTGTGGGTGTATCTTCCAGCTGGTTTTGAGACGTCTCAAAACAAGGTAAGACTGGTTGTGGGTGTATCTTCCAGCTGGTTTTGAGACGTCTCAAAACAAGGTAAGACTGGTTGTGGGTGTATCTTCCAGCTGGTTTTGAGACGTCTCAAAACAAGGTAAGACTGGTTGTGGGTGTATCTTCCAGCTGGTTTTGAGACGTCTCAAAACAAGGTAAGACTGGTTGTGGGTGTATCTTCCAGCTGGTTTTGAGACGTCTCAAAACAAGGTAAGACTGGTTGTGGGTGTATCTTCCAGCTGGTTTTGAGACGTCTTAAAACAAGGTAAGACTGGTTGTGGGTGTATCTTCCAGCTGGTTTTGAGACGTCTTAAAACAAGGTAAGACTGGTTGTGGGTGTATCTTCCAGCTGGTTTTGAGACGTCTTAAAACAAGGTAAGACTGGTTGTGGGTGTATCTTCCAGCTGGTTTTGAGACGTCTTAAAACAAGGTAAGACTGGTTGTGGGTGTATCTTCCAGCTGGTTTTGAGACGTCTCAAAACAAGGTAAGACTGGTTGTGGGTGTATCTTCCAGCTGGTTTTGAGACGTCTTAAAACAAGGTAAGACTGGTTGTGGGTGTATCTTCCAGCTGGTTTTGAAACGTCTTAAAACAAGGTAAGACTGGTTGTGGGTGTATCTTCCAGCTGGTTTTGAGACGTCTCAAAACAAGGTAAGACTGGTTGTGGGTGTATCTTCCAGCTGGTTTTGAGACGTCTCAAAACAAGGTAAGACTGGTTGTGGGTGTATCTTCCAGCTGGTTTTGAGACGTCTTAAAACAAGGTAAGACTGGTTGTGGGTGTATCTTCCAGCTGGTTTTGAGACGTCTCAAAACAAGGTAAGACTGGTTGTGGGTGTATCTTCCAGCTGGTTTTGAGACGTCTCAAAACAAGGTAAGACTGGTTGTGGGTGTATCTTCCAGCTGGTTTTGAGACGTCTCAAAACAAGGTAAGACTGGTTGTGGGTGTATCTTCCAGCTGGTTTTGAGACGTCTCAAAACAAGGTAAGACTGGTTGTGGGTGTATCTTCCAGCTGGTTTTGAGACGTCTCAAAACAAGGTAAGACTGGTTGTGGGTGTATCTTCCAGCTGGTTTTGAGACGTCTTAAAACAAGGTAAGACTGGTTGTGGGTGTATCTTCCAGCTGGTTTTGAGACGTCTCAAAACAAGGTAAGACTGGTTGTGGGTGTATCTTCCAGCTGGTTTTGAGACGTCTTAAAACAAGGTAAGACTGGTTGTGGGTGTATCTTCCAGCTGGTTTTGAGACGTCTTAAAACAAGGTAAGACTGGTTGTGGGTGTATCTTCCAGCTGGTTTTGAGACGTCTCAAAACAAGGTAAGACTGGTTGTGGGTGTATCTTCCAGCTGGTTTTGAGACGTCTCAAAACAAGGTAAGACTGGTTGTGGGTGTATCTTCCAGCTGGTTTTGAGACGTCTTAAAACAAGGTAAGACTGGTTGTGGGTGTATCTTCCAGCTGGTTTTGAGACGTCTCAAAACAAGGTAAGACTGGTTGTGGGTGTATCTTCCAGCTGGTTTTGAGACTTCTCAAAACAAGGTAAGACTGGTTGTGGGTGTATCTTCCAGCTGGTTTTGAGACGTCTCAAAACAAGGTAAGACTGGTTGTGGGTGTATCTTCCAGCTGGTTTTGAGACGTCTCAAAACAAGGTAAGACTGGTTGTGGGTGTATCTTCCAGCTGGTTTTGAGACGTCTCAAAACAAGGTAAGACTGGTTGTGGGTGTATCTTCCAGCTGGTTTTGAGACGTCTCAAAACAAGGTAAGACTGGTTGTGGGTGTATCTTCCAGCTGGTTTTGAGACGTCTCAAAACAAGGTAAGACTGGTTGTGGGTGTATCTTCCAGCTGGTTTTGAGACGTCTCAAAACAAGGTAAGACTGGTTGTGGGTGTATCTTCCAGCTGGTTTTGAGACGTCTTAAAACAAGGTAAGACTGGTTGTGGGTGTATCTTCCAGCTGGTTTTGAGACGTCTTAAAACAAGGTAAGACTGGTTGTGGGTGTATCTTCCAGCTGGTTTTGAGACGTCTCAAAACAAGGTAAGACTGGTTGTGGGTGTATCTTCCAGCTGGTTTTGAGACGTCTCAAAACAAGGTAAGACTGGTTGTGGGTGTATCTTCCAGCTGGTTTTGAGACGTCTTAAAACAAGGTAAGACTGGTTGTGGGTGTATCTTCCAGCTGGTTTTGAGACGTCTCAAAACAAGGTAAGACTGGTTGTGGGTGTATCTTCCAGCTGGTTTTGAGACGTCTCAAAACAAGGTAAGACTGGTTGTGGGTGTATCTTCCAGCTGGTTTTGAGACGTCTCAAAACAAGGTAAGACTGGTTGTGGGTGTATCTTCCAGCTGGTTTTGAGACGTCTCAAAACAAGGTAAGACTGGTTGTGGGTGTATCTTCCAGCTGGTTTTGAGACGTCTCAAAACAAGGTAAGACTGGTTGTGGGTGTATCTTCCAGCTGGTTTTGAGACGTCTCAAAACAAGGTAAGACTGGTTGTGGGTGTATCTTCCAGCTGGTTTTGAGACGTCTCAAAACAAGGTAAGACTGGTTGTGGGTGTATCTTCCAGCTGGTTTTGAGACGTCTCAAAACAAGGTAAGACTGGTTGTGGGTGTATCTTCCAGCTGGTTTTGAGACGTCTTAAAACAAGGTAAGACTGGTTGTGGGTGTATCTTCCAGCTGGTTTTGAGACGTCTCAAAACAAGGTAAGACTGGTTGTGGGTGTATCTTCCAGCTGGTTTTGAGACGTCTCAAAACAAGGTAAGACTGGTTGTGGGTGTATCTTCCAGCTGGTTTTGAGACGTCTTAAAACAAGGTAAGACTGGTTGTGGGTGTATCTTCCAGCTGGTTTTGAGACGTCTCAAAACAAGGTAAGACTGGTTGTGGGTGTATCTTCCAGCTGGTTTTGAGACTTCTCAAAACAAGGTAAGACTGGTTGTGGGTGTATCTTCCAGCTGGTTTTGAGACGTCTCAAAACAAGGTAAGACTGGTTGTGGGTGTATCTTCCAGCTGGTTTTGAGACGTCTCAAAACAAGGTAAGACTGGTTGTGGGTGTATCTTCCAGCTGGTTTTGAGACGTCTCAAAACAAGGTAAGACTGGTTGTGGGTGTATCTTCCAGCTGGTTTTGAGACGTCTCAAAACAAGGTAAGACTGGTTGTGGGTGTATCTTCCAGCTGGTTTTGAGACGTCTCAAAACAAGGTAAGACTGGTTGTGGGTGTATCTTCCAGCTGGTTTTGAGACGTCTCAAAACAAGGTAAGACTGGTTGTGGGTGTATCTTCCAGCTGGTTTTGAGACGTCTTAAAACAAGGTAAGACTGGTTGTGGGTGTATCTTCCAGCTGGTTTTGAGACGTCTTAAAACAAGGTAAGACTGGTTGTGGGTGTATCTTCCAGCTGGTTTTGAGACGTCTCAAAACAAGGTAAGACTGGTTGTGGGTGTATCTTCCAGCTGGTTTTGAGACGTCTCAAAACAAGGTAAGACTGGTTGTGGGTGTATCTTCCAGCTGGTTTTGAGACGTCTTAAAACAAGGTAAGACTGGTTGTGGGTGTATCTTCCAGCTGGTTTTGAGACGTCTCAAAACAAGGTAAGACTGGTTGTGGGTGTATCTTCCAGCTGGTTTTGAGACGTCTCAAAACAAGGTAAGACTGGTTGTGGGTGTATCTTCCAGCTGGTTTTGAGACGTCTCAAAACAAGGTAAGACTGGTTGTGGGTGTATCTTCCAGCTGGTTTTGAGACGTCTCAAAACAAGGTAAGACTGGTTGTGGGTGTATCTTCCAGCTGGTTTTGAGACGTCTCAAAACAAGGTAAGACTGGTTGTGGGTGTATCTTCCAGCTGGTTTTGAGACGTCTCAAAACAAGGTAAGACTGGTTGTGGGTGTATCTTCCAGCTGGTTTTGAGACGTCTCAAAACAAGGTAAGACTGGTTGTGGGTGTATCTTCCAGCTGGTTTTGAGACGTCTCAAAACAAGGTAAGACTGGTTGTGGGTGTATCTTCCAGCTGGTTTTGAGACGTCTCAAAACAAGGTAAGACTGGTTGTGGGTGTATCTTCCAGCTGGTTTTGAGACGTCTCAAAACAAGGTAAGACTGGTTGTGGGTGTATCTTCCAGCTCGCCAAGTCAGTCACAGGTTGGGCAATGTTAGCTTCATCCTCTGGGAGTGAACAGACTTGGGGCTTCAAGGCTTTTTTCGAGCCATTTGCTCCCTTCCCGGCCTTCCCTTGTTACCCCAATTCAGTGTCCTCCCCTCCATTTAACCCCGATCGTCTGGCTTCCATCCCCAGAATGTCTCCAGCTTGCACCCTCCAATCCCTTCCACCCTGCCCTACCCTCCCCGCCCCTCTCTGTCAATCCGCAGATGAAACACAACAAGGCCATTTCTCGAGACACATGGCAGCAGCTATTAGAATTCACCAAGGTACGCTGCCAATCCTCTCTGAGACGTCTCAAAAGTCGAGACACGTGGCAGCAGCTATTAGAATTTACCAAGGTACGCTGCAACTTTCCTTGGATAAATTAAAACCAGCAAGCTGATCGATCTTAGCCAACCCTCCTCTCCGCCCCCATCCACTGTGTTTCCACCTCATACACTCTCCATTGCACACCCGCTGTTCTGCAGATCACGGACCCATCGCTCTCATCGTACGATGAGGAGGGTGCGTGGCCATACCTGGTGGACGGTAAAATAGCTAGTTTTGTGTCGCACCTGGGGGAGGCGGCACTGGAGCCCGGCAAACCGGGCAGCATGCCTTCATACACTCTTCTCTCATTCTCCTTGTTGCCCGCTCATCTCACCCGCTCCCCCGCAGATCACGGACCCATCGCTCTCATCGTACGATGAGGAGGGTGCGTGGCCATACCTCGTTGATGAGTTTGTGTCACACCTGAGAGAGGAAGGCGTGGTGCCCAGCAAACCCGACGCCGCGTAGCTGCTGACCACTCCTCTCACTCCTCCCTGCAGTGCTCCTCACTTGGCCCCTTTCATCACGGCTCCTATCACCACCGCTCCCGCCATACCTCATGCACCACTTTGCGTCACACTCGAGGGGGGGGAGAGTGGTTCCTCGCAAGCCCGATTCCGCCTAGCCTTCACATGTGCCATCGCATCACTGCGTCTCTCTCTGCCCCTCTTATCACTGCCCCTCTCACTGCTTCTGCTCCCGCCATACCTGGTTACGAGTTTAGCCCCATATACCTCTCACTACTCTCACTGCTCCTCTCACACCAGTCACTCCCTCTCACCGTCCTCTCCCTGCGCCACTCCCTCTCACCACACGAGTTTGTGCCACTCCTGAGGGAGGCAGGAGGGGCGTAGCCTGAGGACGCTTAGCCCTTCCCACATGCCTGCCGCATACCGTCACTGCCCCTCTCACCGGCAGCTTTACAGCGCATCTCATCTCGCCACCCATCTCACTCGTTGCATCACAATTGCTCTTGCTGCCCCTCACACGGTGCCATGCCAACTTCCATTTTGTTGGCAAAAATCCATTTTTTTTTGGCTTTGTACGGTAAAATCAAATCGGGATATATCAGAGCGCATGTAGCCAAAACTAGTCTTTTCATAGGACCCCCAGCAGCATTCTAATTTTTTTGCTGGCATTGCCATGTCTAGATAGAAAGTGTTATGATCAAATTTCCTATCGCACCATCAATGCGTTGCTTGCTCACCGCATCAATCTGTCCCATTTCAAAGCATCCCACTAAATGAATATTTTTAAAAGTGTAACGCTTTTCAAAGTTTCGTATTTTGAAAGCGAAGCAGTCTGTAATGTAGGAATGGGCAGCGACAAACCGCGCTATACGCCCGTTTTGGAGTACAAAACGTGGGCTGGAGGTCATTTCCCTCCACCCACGTCTCTCATTTTTGAACGGTTTAGCCGATTTTCGTCTCCCACACTCAAGCTGGCGAGGACCAAGTCTCTTCCTCGCTTTCAATCCCCGTCGACGTTACTCTCCGACATTTTCGCGCACAACGCAACAACTATGGCACTTAACGGCGGGGAGTCTAATACCGCTACGGCCCCCACTCGACCCGAGTCCGCAAGAAACGCACGCGAAATCGCGGGCGATCGCCCAAACAAGCGCCGGGCAGAAGACGGGGAAATTTTCCCGACTGGCGTCGACGTCCTGCTGGGCGCGACCGAGGCACACGCTGCTGGTGTCGAGGCACACGCCCCTGGTGTGCCTCGAGCCCCTGTGGCCCCTGACGCGCCGGCCACGACAGAAGGCGCCAAATCGGCACCAACCAGCGCGCCTGGCACCCCGCGTCCGCGCCAGCGACGCAGGCCTGTGGGCCCTGACGCGCCTGTGGGCCCTGACGCGCCTGTGGGGCCTCACGCGCAAGTGGCGACGGGCGCGCAAGTGGCGCCATCATTCACTGCAGCCCAACTGCAGCAGCTGCTGACCCTGTTACAGCAGCAGACCCCTGCTGTTACTGAAGAAATCGCTACACCAAACGCAACTTCGGTTTCTGCTAAAAGCGACAAGGCGAAAACGGAGTTCGTGAAGCGCGCTCGCACGACAAACACCGGAAGGGGCGAAGACACACGCGCCATTGCGACCCCAGTCACGAACAACCCCACCGACAGCGATAATGAAGAAGACGAAGACGGTGAGGCTCATGCTATAAATGTCGCTTTTGCATCCGATGAGCAACTCCCTCCGCTCCCTTCTCCCAACCCCACCATCACCGCCGCCTCGTTCAAGAACGCCGCCGTGCGCGAGCAAGCCGAGGTCCTGGAACACCTGCGGGCGTACTTGAAGCATGCAGAGCACAAGGTGCGGCACAACGAGCCGGCAAGCGCCCTCGAATTCCTTGGCGAAGCCTTCACGCTCATCACCAACCGCTTCAAGTTACTTCACGTCGCCGACTACACCAACTTCCGCACCGCAAACAGGTTCAAGCTCTATGAAGACAAGAGCGTCTTCACTTCTCGCCCGTTCACGCAGGCCGTCGCGGACGTAGCGGCCATGGAGCGCGCCCAAGGAAATTTCAATCGCGCCCCACGCGGCGGAGGGCGTGGGCCCATGGCCTTTGGGAACAAGCGTGGCCCGCCAAGTGATGGCAACGGCAGGAGCTTTCGAGGCTCTTGCTACCGCTGCGGGCAGCCGGGCCACATGGCCAACGCTTGCCCTGAAAATGGGGTGGGAGCCCAAGGGCCCGCACCGATGGTGTGAACTCCCGAAAGGGCAATCACCCGGTGTCGAGGGGCATGATCAAGGTAGCACTAGGGAGTGCAAGGCCGCTGGCCGTTTTCCCGTAGGGGATGGTAGAATGGCCGCGGGCCAACCCCAAGGCAAGGGGATAGGACTAGGAGTCCTAGAGTAAAGCATTTAATGAAATGGTGGATTTCTTGTGTGCATTATTGAGGGCTCGGAATGCATAATGGGCTATGTTGGTGAAAACGGTGATTTTTGTGTGACTTACTAAGGCCCTTGGTTTCAACGTGTGTAAGAAACTGCAACGGGAGCAGCCACAAGCCTCTGAAAAAAAAAAAAAAAAAAAAAAAAAAAAAAAAAAAAAAAAACCAGAGAATAAGAGCAAGAGAGAGAAAGAGGGAAACAAGCGAGAGAGAAAACTACGAAGGGAAGGAGTTTTTTTTTTTTCCCACTAAGCCAGGAGCCCGAGACGCAAGGCAAGGTTTCCATGGTCTTAAGAAGGGGACGGCAGCAAGGACGGCTATCCAACGAATCTGGGGAACGGCAAGCATGATCATGCAAAAAAAAAAAAAAAAAAAAAAAACGAAAAGAGGGGGAAGGAAGGAAGAGCGCGAGTGAGATGTTCACCGCGATGAGCTCACCGAGCAAAGAAGGAGCTGCCCTACGAGCACCACATGTTAGGCACAGGGCGGAACACCCAAGTGCATGCAATCAGGCAAAAGGACTCATGAAAAAAAAAAAAAAAAAAAAAAATCAACAACAACAACGAGAGAGAACGGAAGAGAGAGAAAAAGAGATAGCGAGAGTGAGAACCTCACGGGGGACCTACATTGCCGCATACCTTGCTTAACGAAGCATGTCCCATGCTGCCCCGAACCCCATGGTCCACAGATACACCGGGTATCGGCTCGATGGTTGAGTATGACCCGTACGAGATTGCGATCACCGACAAGCTCGTCACGACCATGCGCGGACGCCTGCGCGCAGCATTTCCTTGGTGGAGCTCATGGTGCGAGAGTAGCTTCATACTCTCGGTGGTTTTAAATGGCTATTGGATGCCATGGAAGCATGGGCCCCCCACGCCGTTTCAAAAAGACAACCACGCGGGAGCACTAATCCACTCAAAGTTCACCAAGCAGGCCATAATCGAGCTCCTTGATAGTGGTGCGGCCATTATCGCCCCCGGATCCCAACAGCTCTGCATCAGTCCACTAAATGTGGTGGTTCAAAGAGACAAGTGCCGACTGATTCTTGACCTCAGAAGAGTAAACCAAAATCTGAGCATCCCCAAATTCAAGTACGAGGGATTGAAGCGGGTGGCGGAGCTCGTCAGCATAGGCGATTAGATGTTCGCTGTCGACCTCAAATCAGGATACCACCACGTCGACATCCATCCGTCATGCTGGAAGTACCTGGGATTCCAATTCGACGGGCGCTCATACGTCTTTCGTTCCCTCCCTTTCGGCCTCGCGACGGCCCCATTTGTATTCACGCAACTTATCAAGCAGCTCGCCCGCCGCTGGCGGGCCCTCGGGGTACGAGTCATCCCGTACGTTGACGACATCATATTCTTGTGTCACACGGAAGCAGAGGCTCGAACTACGTGTCAGATGGTGGTGGAGGACCTCAACAAGGCGGGGCTAGTCATTAATTCTAAGAAGTCGCATCTGCAACCCACCCAGCAGCTGCGCTTTCTGGGTGTCGAACTGGATACTAAGCACGGCCAGTTCTCCATTGGTCCCGAGCGGCGTACATCGTTACGCTCGACCATTCAAGAACTTTGCATGGCAGGCAGAGCCAAGCGCAAGGTCCCGATCCGCCATGTAGCGAGGGTCACTGGCATGCTCGCTTCGATGTCACTTGCCATCGGCGCAACTGCGCGGGCATTTAGCCAGAACCTGCTGCAGACCATTCAGGAGGCCGCTTCATGGAACAACAAGGTGCCATTAGTCCTCGCCGTAATCGAGGAACTCGAGTTTTGGCTGCAAGAATTCGACAACTTCAATGGCGCCTCCTTCCACGTCCCGAGCAGCTATGACGCAGTGATCCATGTGGACGCCAGCGCACACAGTTGGGGAGCCACACTCGACACGTTCCCGGGAGGGCGAACCGAGGCGAATGCAGCAATGCCCGAGCGTCTCACAAGGACCTCGAGCACGCAACGAGAAATGGAAGGAGTTCTATGGGCTCTCCAAACGTTCGCGGGAGGGATCCACAACCGACACGTCCTAGCCAGAACTGACAACCAAGGCGTATTCTTCATTCTTCGCAAAGGCGGCTCTCGAAGCCCTAGTCTCACCACAACATGCAGAGCCATTATTCAAACGTGCATGGCCTCAAGGATTCGCCTGACGGTCGAATGGATCCCACGCGAGCTCAACACACGAGCGGACGAACTCTCCAAGATTATCGATCGAGACGACTACTCAATTAAAGCACCGTGGTTCCGCCTCATTGAACGGCGTTTGGGACCGCACTCCATCGATCTATTCGCCAATGCAAGCAACACACAGTTAGCCCGCTTCTGTTCCAAAACACCTCACCCGAACGCAGAGGCTACCGACGCCTTCTCAATATCATGGAACGCTGAGCACGGTTATGCTTTCCCACCACCACACCTCATCCCAGCAGTGCTTCACCACGCCCAACGGACGCGAGCATCGCTCACGCTCGTAGTGCCTCATTGGCCAGGGGCAAGCTGGTGGCCGTTGCTACAAACCACCCCACCGAAGTGGGCCCCTTGCATTCGCGCTCACATCCACCTCACCCA